CCACTATAGGTTCACCTATAAAAACCTTATTACGACTTCTCCTTCCTCTAAATGATCGAGTTTAGCGGACTTCTTATGATGTCACCGCGATCCGAACACTTCATCGGACCATTCAATTGGTAGGAGCAACGGGTAGTGTGTACAAAGGGCAAGAACATAGTCAACGTGAGCCGATGACTTGCACTTACTAGGAATTCCTCATTGAAGACCAATAATTGCAATGATCTATCCCCATCACAATGAAATTTCAAAGATTACCGGGCTTATCGGCCAAGGCTATAGACTCGTTGAATACATTAATGTAGCGTGCGTGCAACCCAAAACATCTAAGGGCATCACGGACACGTTACAATGTGCCCCTTGACCCACACATTGTTGCTAGTGGGCCTCGATTACAAATGGCTAGCCATGATCGGCTTCTCTCCCCGGTCACGAGAGGAGCTCATCCGGAAGACATTGTTCGGTATAGACAATGATAAAGCACCGGGACCGGATGGGTGCTCTTTCTTCTTCTTCAAGCGAGGCTTTGGACATAGTTAGGAGAGATTTTTGTGTAGTGGTTAAAGAGTTTTTTGTATCCAGGAAGCTTCGAAACAGGTTAGCCACTTTGTCGTAGCTTTAGTCCTAAAAATGGCTAATGCTACCTTGCTAAGCGACTACGAGATCAATCTCCTATTGTAATATAGTTTATAAGATGATCACCAAGATCATTTCCTTCGGCTATCCTCGGCTCCGATGGATATAGTTAGCCCTATGCGAATGCCTACTTGGGGGTCGAAAAACGTTCGAATTATTTGCTTGGTTCAAGAGTTGCTTCGATCGTATGGTTGAAAGCGATCTTCTTAGAGGTGCCTAATGAAGATTGATTTCCATAAGGCATTTAGCTACGTACGAGTGGGGTTTCCTGAAACGACTTCTATTACAATTAGGCTTCCGGGCGATTTGTTGGTTGGATCATGACATGTGTGGAATAAGCTTCCTACTCCATTTCGATCAATAGGGGCTCGTTTGGGTTCTTCCTAGGAAATGCGGGTGTTAGGCAAGGTGACCCCCTATCTCCTTACCTATTTGTGGTCCGCATGGAATATTTCTTGCGCTTACTACGGGTTGCGGTAAGGAATTCGACTTCTGCTTCCACCTTAAACGTGGGATCCATGCCATCACCCACCTAGCATTTGCGGATGATGTCTTGTTGCTTAGCCGTGGAGATGCTTGCCTCTATCGGGATTCTATCTAGCCGATTGTCTATCTTTGGTAGCACATCCGGCCTAGCCATCAATGTGGCCAAGTCCTTGATCTTCTTTGATGGGGTGGGAAGCGACTTGAAAAACTTCATCCTCCAAGAAACCGGGTTCTATGAGGGCTCTTTCCCCTTCAAATACCCAGGGGTCCCTCTAAGCCCTCATCGCTTGCTTGCTAATCGGCTTGCCCATTTGCTACATAGTCTTGAATCCACGATTCGGAGCTGGATGGGTAAACATTTATCCTATGCGAGTAGGCTAGAGCTACTCGAGTCGATCCTCTTCGAGCATGATACAATTTTGGCTTGCTATCTTTCCTATGCCTGTTGTGGTTATTGCACGTATCACCGGTATGTGTCGAATTTTTTATGGACGGGAGATGTTAGTAAGAGCTCTTCGGCTTTGGTGGCTTGGAAAAGCCTTTATTCCCCTAAATCGAAGGTGGCCTAAGAGTCTTTGACATCAAATTGAAAAATCAAATTTTTCTAGCTAAAAGGCTCTAGGACATACACCTCAAGGATGACTCCATTTGGATTCATTGGGTCCATCACTTCTACTTGCAAGATTGCCGAGTGTGGGACGTTTCGGCCCATTGTAATGCTTCGTCATTGTGGAAAGCTATTCTCGATTGGAAAGACTTGCTTGTTGTGAAATATGAGAGTAAAGCTAAAGCTATACGAGAACTTGCTCGATGGAACTCGGGAGAGGGAAGATTCTCTAGTATAGCATATGCACGGCTTAGGCCGGAAGGGGAACCAGGTGTCTTGGGGTAGGGTGATTTAGGAGTCATGGTCCATGCCATGGCATTCCTTTATTCTCTAGCTTCGCTGCTAGGGGTGCCTTAAAAACTAAGAACCACCTCTCGTTTTCTTCCTACCAACAATGCATGTCTTCTTTGTGATCAAGCTACCGAGTCACATAACCATTTATTCTTCTCTTGCCCTTAGACGACTAACCTCCGGTTGAAAATTAAGCGATGGCTACGAATTCATAAAGGTTTGCATACGCTCACTAGTGCTATCGGAGGCCTCTCCTGTTTTCGTAACAATCTTAAAGCTAAAATAAGGAGAGTGGCCCTTAGTATCACGAGTTTATGTCATTTGAGAAGAAAGAAACAGGCGCACCTTTGATGCTCTCGCTAGCTTGATGGATAATGTGTTTCATAAATTTCGGATTATTTTTTATACGGTATTCTATTTTCATGAGTCGGACCCCCTCCTCTTGTCCGTGGGCTAGCCTTGATTTATTCCTCGATAAGTTCATAGAGGTCTTCTCCGGTTAGGATGCTTCGTTGTTGGTTCTCTTGATTCGAGTCTTTTTGGGTTATCCGTCGCTTTTCCGGGCTTCCGAGCTATATTGGTTTCGTCTGTTTTGTTTTCGGAGGTTGCGCCTTTGTTTGGGCTTGACTCGGATACTTTGCTAAATGAGGCAAGCCTCTGCTGGTTAAGGGGTTTTCTTCGAGTTTCACCACCTGCGGGCTCCTTGGCTACTTCCATAGATTAGTCGGTGTTGATTGGTCGGCGTTGATTCGGCTTTTAGCTTCTTGCTCCTACTTGTGAGATAGATTTTATTCCTTGCTCGGATGGTTCTATCCGATCTACTCGAGTCTACTTGCTGGTTTGGGAGTGCTGCGGCTCTGTTTTGTTGGGCTATATGGGCGCTCTTACAATTGGTCCGGTTGTAGCGTTTTTAGGCTCTCCGGTTGGTTTGGTTTTTGGAGCTCTACCCCCGTTGTCTTGCCTCCGCTTGGGCTCGTCTTGGTCGCCTTATCGTGTCCGTCTCCTATGGCCTCCTCGCCGTCGCCTCATAATGCGAGTGGGCTTTACCGGGCTAGGTCTACTCGTTGTGTTTAGCCTTCTTACTCGGTAGTGGAGGCTGGGCCTATTCTCCCCTCCTAGTCCATCCAACGCTTCCTCACGTCCCCGATTTGCACCGGTAGGGGTCCGGTTGGTGTGGTTCTCCTCCGGTCTCCCTTGGCTACTATCTCAAAGCCCGGTTAGGCTTTGCCGAGCTTGTTTCCCCACCGTGTTTTGCTTCTCTTTAAGCAGGCATAGGCCGAGCCTAGCCTCACTTTGTTGCCAACTCGGTGTAAGTTCCGGCTTAGGCATCCGCCCTTAACCTAAAGGCTACTTCGTCCATCCGTCTTCCTCTCGTTGTTTAGCGTATGCCGGCACCTTTTAGTTCCAATTTCTAGTCCCGTCGCATAGCCAAGCCTTCATTTTTGCTCCCCATTGGCTCTTTGCCAAGCCCGACGCCGCTCGCTCCTACCGGCTACTCGTTTCTACTCGTGCTAATAGTTGGTTTTGTAATTGCTCCGTAAGTCCGAGGTTTTATAGGCGGTTTCCTCCCTTGTCCGGCCTGGTTGGTAGGCGGGCCTTCCCGCTCATAGCCTCCCCACACGCCCATGCGCCGCTCGCTCCCGTCGGTTCCTATTGTTTCGCCACGCTAGCAGTCGGCTTTGTAAATTGATGGTCGTAATTTTGTAAATTATTGGTTTTCATTTAGTGCTTACTCGGTAATGTTTTTGTATGTCTGTAGAGCCTTTGTAACTCGGTTTCGATTAGCTAGCACATGGTCCCTATCTAGTTTTTCTCGAAATCTCTACAATGTTTGATTCCTTGAACAACCATCTAGTTCTAACTCTTTGTTTTTGATTCATTGGGAGCCTATTCCTAAATTTTGTAAATCCTATAAATGCTATTATTGCTTGGTTCTTTTTTCTAGCTTGGTTTCCTTTGATTTATATACTTATATTTTAAATAAAAAAAAAAGAAAGAGCTCTTAGTGAGTTAGTAGTGTGCCCGGAGAGAGAAATAAGAGAAAGATGCTCTCCTCCTTAAGAGATTTTCCCTCATGTTCGATTGCAGACTATTGTTCCCCTTCTTCTTCCCCTCCCCTATTCCTTTCCTCCACCCGAACCTTTCCCCACCCATGCCTTCCCTCCGTGGTTCCGTCCACTATTCTCCGTCCCCCTCACTACCTTCTCTTTCTCCATCTTCTCTCCTCCTTCTCCCCTCCCCTCCTTTCTAGCAGATTAATGGCAAAGAAAAAGAAGAAATCTACCACCAAACGGCCCTCCTCATCGGGACAACTTGGTCCGGCATCTCCGGTTCGGCCTTGGTAGCCCCACCTAGCCCTTCTTCTCTTCCTTCGCCACTATAACTGTTCATAGAAATGGCAAAGCTCCAACGAGAGGTTGCCGATGCTAAATTCCATGTTAACCCTTCTTCCCTTGATCCCATTGAAGCCGAGGACTCGCTCTAGTGGTGATGAATTGTCCTTTGATTCTCGCTAGTATGGAGGAAGATCCAGCTTCTAGCCGAAGTTCAAATTCCCGCCCACCGGATTTCAAATTTATGTTTCCCGCCCAAGGGACTTTCGTAGCCGGGAATCGGTTTGTTGAGGAGGTTTCGAATTCCATGAGTCCAAATTCCATGTCTACCCCGGACGCATCTCCCCCTAGTCCCGGATCGATTTTGGCCGGCAATCTGGTTTCCCCCTAAAAAATTCGAATTCCGAGTTTCTCGTCACTCGGGTATAGAACTCTAGCCACCAACTCTCTTCTCGGTCCCTAGCCAAAGGGCAACCCACCGCAACTTCCATCTCTAGTCCAAGCTCCCTCTCCTCCCCTGCCTCGGATTCCTCTCGGTCACCAAGGTTGGCCACCTCCTCCCGCCTCTACCAAACCAGGTACTTCGAACTCCTTTTTGTAAAATGGAGGGCTTTATTTGCTAGCAATCATAGCACTACCACATGCCCTAAGCTTACTCATTTCAATGCTATCACTCGCCTCAAAATCATGTAAATTGCTTGATGATGATCCTCAATGTGATATTTGGAAAAAAAGCCTGGTTAGTTATATGGTCGAAAAGTCCCCGGGTTATCGGGCATTGAATGGTATTATTGTGAACACTTGGAATTGTGAGGCCTCCCCGTCGGTGCATGATTCCGGCTGGTTGGTGTACTTGTTTTGCCTCGGAGGAGGCTAAATTGTCCGTGCTAAATGGGGGCCCTTATTTGATCTTCGATCGATCGTCGCTTCTAAAGCCTATGCCCGAATTTTTTGACTTCTCCAGGTGCGAAAATGTCTAATGTCCCTATCCGGGTAAAGTTCCCAAATCTCCCGCTAAAGTGCTCGGTCTCTATTATCTTTATCTAAGATTGCAAACATGTTAGGGAGGCCCATTCAATGTGATCGCTTAACGACCACCATGGAAAGGATATCATATGCTCGTGTCTTGGTTGAGTTGAATATCATGGCGGATTTTCCATGAGTTATCAACATTGGGCTTTCGAATGGTTCCACATTGCTTCGACTCGTCATTTATGAGACTTTGCCCACCCATTGCAAGGTTTGTCAAATTCTAGGGAAACGATTAATTACGTTAAGCGTGTGTCTAAGGTCGAGGCGCCTACCGCAACTACTCGTTGTGGCTACGTTAGGCGCCGGTCCGCCTCCTCAACGGACGCCCGTTGTCGCCTCCTCCAATGATGCCTTGGCCCAAGATCTTCCAACGGATCCAATGTGTTCGGAGGCGGTTGCTAGCGTAGGGGCCGGGTGATGGTTAAAAGCAAGGCCAAAGGTAAGGCCCCGCAGAATGCTCGAGCATCGCCGACTCTCTTTTGGCTCGATTCGACAACTGCAGCCCCACTCTACCTAAGCTAGTTGCTCGGGACACTCGGGTCTCTCCTTTGGAACCTACCAATAGGGTAGGCCTTAATGCTTATGTAGGTACGAATGATCGGGGCCCCATGGGTGATACGGCTTAGATATCCGTTTGTGTTGAACGGATTGGCCGAGGTCGGCCGATCGAAACGAGAGGATGGGACGGTTAATCATGGTGGCCGCGAGCTCGGGCCTATCGGTGGTGTTGATCCCGGCGAGGATATGGTTACGATGGTTATCGGGGTCGAGCAACTATCTAATGGGGTTCGGTCCGGGGCTCAAGTGGTTTTCACTCGTGGCAAAAATCGTGGCACTCGTAGAGGGGCGAGGGGGTTTCCACCTCTTCCACTTTCCTATGTTAATATTCACCTGGAATGTTAGGGGTCTTAATAGTCCCCTAAAACAACATGAGGTGGTGGGCCTTATGAGAAAGGATCGTATGGATATTTGTGCTTTAGTGGAAACGAAGCTCGGCCTTCACAAGATTTCACTAATGCACAAGCTTCGGCTAAAGCGTTGGAGTTACGCCTCTAATGCCTCTCGCTACCTCTACCGGTCGAATTATCCTCTTTTGGAATCGACTTCGGTTTAGATTGATGTTTTGGATGCCTCGGCTCGTGGGCTTCATGTTCGGATCAAAAGCCTTGTTCTTCAATCGGCTTTTCATGCAACGTTTGTCTACGGATATAACACTCTTATTCGGCGAGTGGGAGCTATGGGCAAACCTCCGTAGATGGGAAATCAATGGCCCTTGGCTTGTGTTGGGTAATTTTAATTCGGCTTGCTCAGCTCGTCTCCTTTCGATCGTAAATGCTTCAAGTTCTTCAATATGTGGGCTTAGCATGACAATTTCCTCTCGATGGTTGAGCGTCATCGGCGGTGTTCTCATAGGGGCAACCCTATGTATCTTTTATGCTTGCAAGCTTAATGCTTTGAAACAACCTCCGAAGCTCCTTAATTCGGTTCACTTTAGTTATATCTCCGAGCGGGTCTCTCGTCTTGTTACTAATCTCGATAGCCTACGAGCGGTCCCTCCGGTCCGAACGGGATAGTCCCTCCCTTTAGAGCAAGAGCGTCTCTCATGACGGACCTTAGCTTGCTTAAAATTAGCGAGAGAAGATGTTCTTTGGCCAAAAGCTTAAGTGTAAATTTCTTAAGGAGAGCGACAAGGGCGATCGGTTCTTTCATACCCTTATGAGCCAATGTCACAAGCGGAATTTCATTGCCTCCATTCAAGGCCCCAATGGGGTGGCTACTTCTTCGCTGTCGGCGAGTTGGGGTTGTATTTGTTGATTATTTTTAGAGTCCGCTTAGGTTTTCCTAGGACACTCGCTCCCCTTGATGCTTTAGTGGTTGATATGGGGCCTCGACTTCGACCTCCAATCTCCGAAATGTTACTTACCCCGGTCTCTAATGACCTAATTAAGGAGACTTTGTTTGGTATAGAAAATGACAAATCCACGGGGCCGGATGGGTTCACATCGCTATTCTTTAAAAGCGCATAGGGGATTGTTGGGCTCGATTTCTATTTCGCAATCAAGGACTTCTTCACCTCGGGCTAACTCCTAAAGAAGATTAATCATTCGGTCATTGCCTTAGTGCACAAATCGGCCCATACTTCTACTCCCTCGGACATCCAATCGATTTCCTGCTATAATGTTGTTTATAAGGTGATCTCTACGATTCTCTCCTCCTACTTAGCTACGGCTTTGAACGATGTTGTTAGGCCCTTACAAAATGCCTTCTTAGGGGGTCGGCAAATGACGGATAACATCCATCCGCTCTAGGAGCTTTTTCATCGGTATGGGCATAAGCGGGCCTCCTCACATT